TCAAATGGCATGTCATGACATATGAGCTGATTTAATACTGAAAACATGAAAGTTTGCTCAAGCTATTGAACTTGGCCGCGGCGGACGCACCGTGCGCCGCCGACGGCGTTGAGCCGTTTTACGACCGAACTCACTTTCTTCTCGGCAAAACTCAATTAACTGAACTTAAACATGATATATTGAACAAATGAACATGTTGGTTCGAAAGAACGTTTACTTAGCAAGTATTCTACTCGTGAACGGCCCGTGGCGCGTGCTACGTGCATGATGAGGATCGTGTGTTTTGACTGCCGATAAGCCGCTAACCCGCGCCTTGAATCGCCGATAGTGTTCCTCGAGCCACAACAGTGCCTCTAAGAACGAATAAAATTGCTATAGTATTCTGGTGAAAAGACTAAAGCAAAGTTGGAAGAACAAAGTTCTAGATTTCTTTTGATGTCTTGAATGATGACAAATAACATAGGGATGGGGCCTTTATATAGGCACAAAAATATATCTAAGCCTAATCTACCTAGGGAACTAATAAAGCAATAAAATATTAAGTATCCTAAACAATCTAGATCTCATAATGTAAGATGGAAACAACTTGTCTTGCACTCCACTCAAACTCTCTCTCTCTCTTCGGTCCACGCACGCGGACGCCTAGGTCCAACCGCCTCACTTGCGCGCCGCCTCACCCGCGCGCTGTCCTTGCCCACGCCCTAGTCCTTGAGGACTAGGGCACCACCTCCCGCGCGTGCCTCGTCACCCGGCATGGTCAGCACGCCAGCGCCTCGCGCGCCTGCCCCCAGCGCGTGACCTGCCGCCAGTCCACATCCCTCAAGGAGTGGGGCTTCGCGCCCCGCGCGTACTCGTGCATCGCCCGCGTTCCTCGCGTTCTGCGTCGCTGTGCTCAACCTGCGCGCGTCCCCGCCAGCCGCCCGTGTTCCGCTTGCGTGCGCCAACTGCGCGTACCCGCTGGTCAACCCTTGCTTGCCCCTCACGCCTGCGCGATCGCTCTCGCCTGTGATCGGGCCATTTTCGCACCCCTTGCGCGCACTATACTCTAGTGCGCGCATTTCTGCCGTCACTCGTGCTTGCCTTTTGCGCATGGTAGGCCCGACTGGCGGCGTTTTTGAGCTGCCTAGCCACTTCCGCATCATTCCCGTCCCCTTCAAGCGATTCCTTGTCCTCAAGGATAAAATTCGGGAACTGATCACGTATCTCTTCAAGATCCTCCCACGTGGCTTCTTCAGGCGGCAACTCTTCCCAGTCAACAAGTACTTCCCAACGATAGCGCCCTGCTCTTTTTACCTTGCGGTACTCAATGGCTTGTCTGGGGCGTACGATAGCCCTGCCATCGGTTGCGGTAGTTGGTAACTCCTCACAGTACTTCTGCGCTTCTCCTAAACTCTTTTTGAGTTGCGAGACATGGATAACTGGGTGGATTTGTGAGCTCTCTGGTAACTCAAGGCGATAAGCTACCTGACCAATGCGCTTTAGAATCTGATAAGGCCCGTAATAGCGGACTCCCAGTTTAGTTGCGGCCCTTTGCGCTGTGGTACGCTGTCTGAATGGTCGTAGCTTCAGGTAGACATACTCGCCTGGTACAAAATTTTCCTCACGCCTCTTTCCATCTACGAAGGCTTTGGTTCGGTTAATTGAGCCTTCGAGATTTCTCTTCAGCTCACGTAACATCAAATCTCGTTCCTCTAGTTCTCGGCCAACCTCATCGTTGACTGTACTCTCCTCCGAATAGTTGATCAGTGTTGGGGGTTTTCGCCCATATACCAACTCGAATGGCGTCATCTTGGTCGACTCGTGGTAAGTGGTATTGTACCAATACTCGGCCCATGGTAAAAAGTTTTCCCACCGCTTTGGGAATTGATGGACGTAGCACCTCAAATACTGCTCAAGGGTTCGGTTGGTTACCTCAGTTTGTCCGTCTGTCTGTGGGTGGTATGCTGAGCTCATAGATAATTTAGTCCCTTGCAACTTGAAGAATTCAGACCAAAAGCTGCTCATAAAAATCCGGTCTCGATCAGAGACGATGGATCGAGGTGCCCCATGCAGTTTCATCACGTATTCCACGAATAACCTGGCAATTGACTTCGCAGTGTAAGGATGGGTAATGGGTATGAAGTGAGCATACTTGGTGAGACGATCCACCACAACCATAACACCGTCAAATCCATCAGAATTCGGCAACCCTTCAATGAAATCCATAGTAATGTCTTTCCAGATTGCCTCGGGTACTGGTAGCGGTTGCAATAGCCCACTCGGTCGTCGTGAGTCAGACTTAGTGCGCTGGCAGTCATCGCATCGAGCTATGTAATCTCGGA